GTTACGTTTGAAGCAACCTCCCTTTCTTTCGGAATGGGGGTGTTACAATACTGATATTAAAAAAAGGTATATATTGTAATGCTAAAAATAAACCCAAGATTGCCAACAAAAAAAATTCCTTTTCTCAAGGGTTTTTAATCATTATCTTTTTTTTAAACCAAAAATTTGTGAATTTAATTTTGATTTTGCCCTTATTTATTACAAAATAATACATGTTGAAAAATGAAAATTGTAACCGGAGATTATTAAATTTCTTATAAGGGAAAAATACATAAAATAGCAATCTATTTTTATAAAAAAATTATTATAGCATTGTATTTTCAGTTTTTCTTATTACGGCAATGTACTTTTAAACTATTTTTTATTAGGACACTGTATTTTGAAAAATTTACCCATTATAGCATTGGGTAACCTTTTGATTTAAATTTACTCATTATACCAGGTTTTCATGTCACCTCATTGTCCATGTAGGTTGTTCATTTGTACTAGAGTGATGTGACTTTCTTACTACATCATTGTACTTTCAAAATTATTTTATTATATCATATACTAATTCTTATTAAACATTGTATTTTTTTATTTTAATATTTAGATATTTTACCTGTTATTTAATAAATATATTAAATAAATTAAAAAATTATAAATTATGTAATAATATACCAATATCAATAAAACTAGTATAACACAACTTATCTCGCTAATATTTTTCTTAAAAATTTGTGTTTTTTGAAGAAAAAATAAATAAATAAGAATTATTCTTTTTTTACCAAAAAAAAAATATTTTTTAAATAATATATTATACTTGTTCATAAACTTTTACTTGACGTATAAATATATTAAATTAATTAGATTGTTTTGAATTATTTATTAATATAACAATATTAAAAAATTATAATTAACAATTTAAAGAGAACTTTAAAAGATATGTATTTATTCGAACAACATAAAATAAGAAAAGTTACATTTTTTACAAACAAAATATATCTTGAAAATAATGTTTCATATTTATTTAATAAATATTTTACTCTAAGAATATTTAATTTGCATGCAACTTAATAAGAAAAAGTCAAAAAAATTAAATGTTTTTTATATCATAACAATGGAAAATGAAAATCATCAATAATAATTTGAAATATGTTTTTATTTTTATTTTATTTAAGTTATCACAATGATGTGTCATCCACATCACCTCATTAAAGTCACACAAGCAAAAAAAGTCAAAGGGTTAACCGGTTTAAAAGGTAACAAGTTATTCATTGCTATTATGGGTAGATTTTTTAAAGTACGATGCCTTAATAAAAAATAATTTGAAGTACATTGCTGTAATAAAAAAAACAAAAGTAGAATGTTATAATAAGAAAATTTATGAAAGTAGGTTGCTATTTTATGCATTTAACCCTGTGTACGAATATCCATTGCTTCTACTTCTTCGTCTGATTCTGGATAGATACAAATATTCAAACATATTATAGAATTCATGTTTCCAATGAATCGGAAACAAAATACTAAAGTTTTCTGTGTGATCCTACAAATTAATCCAAATCCTTCAAGTCCCTCAAAAACAATCTTGCAAACCAAACGAACCCTAATACGTTGAATACATTTAGCATCGACTAATAAGAATACAAAAGTCATATTTGAATGTATGAATTCAACCAACTCATCCCTAAGTTGACCAAGCACTTACATGTTACACGACAAGATAAGTGAGGATGACAGCTCTTACCGATAAACCCTTAATGGATAAACACGGCCCTTGATACCATACTAAACAAAAGTCTGAACAATAATGCAGGTTTGGCTTTGAAATGTTTTAGTATGTAGGATGAACTTGTCCAATGCGTTCGGCACCAATCTTTAATATATGTAATGATATTTTCATGAAGATTATAAGAGACAGCAGACTATTAGATTAAAAGGAAAAGGAAGCAAAGATTGCTGTTGTTATCTGATGAATTCATTAACAGCAGGAGTACAGATTCAAACCGAAATGAATGAAAGCTAGAGCTCAAATGGAGGGCAAAATTTCCAAAAATTATGATTCAAGTAAAAAACAACAGATAACAATACTTCTTCTGTGTGGACTTCTGGAACTTGCTGAATGCTGATGAACAAATGAACAATAAATCTCAACGTATCATCAACCCTTGCATCGACCGACTTCCTTCTTCTGTAGCCTTGTTCGCTTGAATGGTTGTTATCACATTTGCAATGTTACCCTAAAACACAATATTTATTTACAAAGATCACATACTACTCGATACCAATCACATACTTGGTCTAGAAAGAAATGTTTTTACCCTCCATGTTGCCAGCTTTGATCGTAGAGCTTGCCATTGCGGCGGCCCAAACACACGCTCAGTGTAACGGCTTCACGGAACATGATTCAGTAAATTAGTTAGTTGATGATTTCAAGCGATGAATCAAAGAATAGAAAACAAAGTTTCTACACACCTGACTTTAATGACTTGATTCATCTGGTCGATTTTACAATCAATCAGTTTCGCCGAGATTGCCTTGACCACCCATGGTTCCACCTCATCGTCCTCTATCTGTAACGGACCCCGCATTGACAGAGATCAGAAGCTATGTAAACAGCCAGGATTAAAAAGTTTTCTATGAGTTTAGTATGCGTACCTGGAGAGTGTCCTTGATTAGAGGATAAGGAATTTGGCCAGATTCATCAGAGGCAAGATCCACCATTGATATCAATCTCATCTTTGCTATACAGTCTTCATGGACAAGACCTAAACCATAACAAAAAGAAAACCATAAATTAAAATACACACAAGTTTGAAATACAAGCAACTCATTCAAATCTGATCTTAGTAATTACCATAGCTTTTCAGCAATTCAGAATTTGATGTATGAAAACCTAGGTATTGGTCAAGCCTCTGAGTCAGAAATATCTTTAGAAGCTGATAGACTAATGCATACTTAGCGTCTTTCTCCAATTGTGCTACAGCAGGCATCTCAAGAAGATCACACTGCAAGATTGTTAAAAACGATTTACAGTAAACCAAGTATTATAGATTTAGAAAAACATTACAATGCTTGCAAAACCAGAAACAATTACCAAGTAGCTCAAACTCCAGACAGTAATCATCTAAAACCTACCAACTACCAACTCGGTGATCAGACCAAACTGGATCACTATATTTGACTAGAACATGTCCTGATATACAGTGACATTAAGTTGGGTCTGCTTTTCACCATTGAAAGAGCAAATGAGTTATTAGTAACACTAACTGAGCAAAGGCATTCAGCACTTACCAGCAAACATGTATGCTGTGTAAACTACTGCAAAGAGTGAGAGTACCAACAGCATAAGTATTGAAGATACAAGGAATCTGCTGATGGTGGTTTTCTGTAACAGTTACACTTCAATGGCTATTAGATGTGACTTAATTTTCAGGTCTTTCTTGTTAGTATGCCAAATATTCAGGTCATATCTCCCTATGGGGTTCTTGGCGACGTCTTGCAAATTAGCTTAGACCTTTTTGTGTAATCTCCTTTAATTAGGAATTTAAGGTACCACATGAAATTAATCATTACTTTTGTAAGAGTAGAACAAAAAAGGCAATCACCAGCATGAATAATCCTTCGGAAGTGAAAAAGCAACCAATGAATATTTCACTATGATATTTAACATTTTGTCCTTGCTGGATATTGATAGCATGCATGCCCATCGATTATGAACTTCCACTGAATGACACATCTCCAGTTCTTTGCTCATCATATACCCTACAAAAAGTCACTTGTTCACCAGAAGAAATAAAGGCTCGACCCCATTGATACTTTTTAGTAATTAGTGTTCCCCAAAAACAATGATGTAGCTAAATGAGCCGAAAATTCTGTTTCCAGTATTTTAGTAGGAGTCTCAATACCCTGCCAATCTTTTTCACTATATATTACACCCTTTATATGATTACGTGACTAAATAGAGTTTACTTAACTCTATTGAAACCTCTAATATGAATTATTCAACTTCTGTCACAGACAATCATCCTTTGACTTCCAAATTTCCTCTTTCATCTATCCAAAATCAAATATTCTTGTATTCATATTCTGAAACGTATGCTTCACCAATTCATCTACGTACTTGCATAACAATAGTTTTTCCTTGTAAGCATCAAAAAACTAGCATCCACATGAAAGGCAAGGTAACTCGGATTAAGAAGTGTACTTTTCCCTTATGAAACTAAATTATGTCCTAACCTTCAAACCACATAGTATTCCTTAAGAAGGTTGGGACATCTAGACTCATCACAGACCTCAGAACAAAGATTAAGGAACTCCAGGAAAACTTAACATGATTGATATATAAGTAATTACTTGATCACATCTATTGGTATCGAAGTGGAGTTAGATGTATGATACCTGAAACATGTCAGGTGCTTTGACAAATTCGATAATGGTGTAAGCAGCTTCTTCCTTTGCCTCTTCCATTGTATGTGCATCCTCGCCAGAGAACGTCGCCAGATACTTGGTCAGAAACTTAATGTTTTCCTTAGCAGAGCTAAAATTCCATTTAAGCAGAAAAGGGAGTATTACATTAATTCAGTGGAAACCATAAGAAGGTTCTATTCAGCAAGTCCTATCAATTTGTGATACCTCTTATGTTCCTTCAAAATATTAGAGATGGCAAGGAAAAGTTCTCTTTGATCCTTCAGTCCTAGATTCCATTCCTTCAATAAGGTGTCCATCTTTTTAAAAGAAGGTACAATATGTTCCATGCCCTTCCCATTGGCTGCCACATCAAGGGCCTTCATGTAAACAATGAACCTTCCGTAAGGGTTCTCTAACATGTTGTACAGATTGAACAAGCTGAAGAAGTGGGAAGAAAAATTAACATGAGATAGTGTTTCGTCCAGAGGCATGCAATGATAATAATCTGAGCTTACATCTTCAATCGTAATGCAGGTTTTTCGTGTGGTTGTTGGGCAATTTTTGTGGATAAGAGCTTTGCCATCTCCAGTGACTCATCTAGGCTTTCAGGCTTCTTAACAAGATTGCAAATAACAGTGAAGATGCACTCCAGATCTGAGGTAAAGACAACCAAATGCCGGATTAAAAAAAATGTTTTATAACAAGAGATAAAAGAAAAGAAAACCAAAAAGAGGCACTATGAAACCACTGCATAAACATAAATGTGAATACATCTTGATTTTAGTATCTAAATAGCTGGTAGTCTGGTATGCCAATGGTGGCAGTAGCAACTCAATGTGAGATGCCTTTCAGAACAAAAAACCCTGCATATTTTTCTTAGAAAAGATGAATATGAGAATAGCAAGAGAAAATTGCAACATTGAAAAGACAACATAGCTCTCATGGCTCAAAGTATACATAAGACTGCAAGTAAACATGTGATTCCAACAGCATACTACAAACAAAAAGATACAGAATGTTGAAGCAGAAGCAACAATTCTATAATCAATACATCTAAGTTAATAATGAGCGCAGCTACACGTATGTCTTTCAAACTCACCGATGGATGCCCATTTCAATGACATAATACATGTTAACAACACTTGTCCGGGGATGTGATACCCTGATATATACCATCATTTGTACAAATCTCCTCAATTAGAGCATCACTGCTTTAAGTTAATACTATACTCTTTAAAGGAACTTAGGATAGTTCTTGCAATTCCCTTTTTCTTCTTAGGTTAATCGGCATGTCCTACTTTTCTGACAGAGAACTTTGATATGCTAAAGAATGCCACTACAAATACAAAAAGCCCATAATCTATTCGGATTTGAAACTTGCATCACAAAATTGAAACGTAAACAACATGCCGTATTAGAACACAAATTTCATATCAGATACCTAAACTTGAGTGACCATACATATGAAACAGTCTGTATTGTTGATCATGGTAAAATGGAACAGATACAAATATATATAGGAAAAAAAATAGTCTGTGATTTCTTTTTGAAGAAGAAGAACCGGCTTTCTTTGAACTTGAAGTAATAAGACTATCCCAATTATGACACTCATGGAGAAAGAATCTTAATAAATGGAAAGAAGAAGCATCTTTTATCCAATAGCGAAGAGCCTGAACCAAGATTTCCAGGCGGGCTGGTAAGGTATTAGTATATCTAATACATAATTTAAATGTAAAAAGATGTCCTCTAAAAAAGAAAATATTGAATGAATTGATCGTAAATTATCGGATTTGACTACCCCTTTCTTTTATAGGAGGATATTAATCGCATAGACAATGGAATTTCCATAATGATTGAAGATACCTCCGACATTACGTGCGGATAAAAATTCTTGTTATCAAGCACTGGACTGAACTTCACCTTTTTCTGAAGCCTTAGAAAATACCAAATCAGCCGAAGTAAGCATTAGTGAAGCCAAATCCAACCATCTGCCGGCAATCATGCATTCCTGGGCTTCCATGCACAAACTAGTCACTTGTGGTTCAGCAACCTGAGCCGCAATTCATAAAATTTCAACACAAATTAAGCAAATAAACCATGTTAGAGTAATCAGAAAATGCCAGATCAATATATGCCTTTTTAAACTACAGTTTCCACTGCTGTTTCACGTCAATTGATATCAAATCAACTAAACGTTGCTTCAGTGATTTTGGCGTGCAGTGTGTTGTGTGGATTGCAATTAATGGGGTTTTGAAATACCTCAGGACCCGCTTCCGCCCACGAAATCTCGGCAGTGAAACGGACGACGGAGAGAGCAGGATCCTCCTCGGATGTAGGCACGACGGTCGTCATGTTGGTAGCGGTGGTGGTAGAAACTACTCTATGCAATGGTGCAACTCGTATCTATACTCAGCGCAGCAGAGAGCTATCCGGCTTACGAGTTCACGAAAGAATAAAAACCCTAACCAGGGGATAGACGACTACAGGAGGGATCCGGTAAATCTAACAGTTACACCTTGGTTTGGTCCTTTAGGATTTAATAATTACACTTCACCCCCCTTTAGTTGCATGTCTCACCCAATTGAATGATAATTAATTGATCGTCTTTACGTTGTGTTCTCAAAACCTTTCTTGCGATAGAAATAAAAGGAAAGGGGGGAAGTAAAAAAAACTCATGTACACGAAACCTTTTTAGGAGATAAAGCGGAAGAGAAATAATTATAAGTTTTCTCTCAAAACTTTCTTTTCAAATGTGGAAGGAAAATGAATGAAATAAATCAAAACTTTTTAAAAAATTATTTAAATTACAAAAATATCCGATCTTTCAGTATAAATAACATATTTTTAAAAAGTACATTTGTAAAAGTGACATTTTTTCTCTATTTTCTCTCACGTTCTAGAACATGAAAAAGTTTTTTTGTTTTTTTAATCAATGTTTTAGGGAAAAAAAAACCTAAACTCATAATAAAAAATGTTAGTGCCCATTTATTTCTTATTATAACTTTGATAACAAGTAATTTATATAATCATTCATTATATAAAAATAAAATATAAGTATTAACTAAAAAAATTAGAGTATCTTCAACAGGTTTTTCAAAATTGAGATTTTGAAAATCTGTATTCACAGATTCTCTAAAACCTTTTCCCAAATAGGGATGAGAATGGATCCGACCCGTCAGGGAAACCCGGTCACCCGTTCCGATTGGGGACGGAGATTCCCCGCTAAATTGGGGATGGGGACGGGGATCCCCGTACCCGTTATATATTAATTAATAAACTATATATATATATATATATATTATATATATTTCAACTAAAGCTCTAAATTTTTTATTTCTTGGATGTTAATATGTAATATTTTGGATGTCAAATCAAAATACAATTATTCGATAAGTTTTGTATATTACTCGATATGTTTTATATTACTCAATATCTTTTGATATGTGTGATTTTAAGTTTTCTGGGTTAAATTGAATATTTTTTTTGGTTTTAGTTTATTAATTGTTATATAATGTTGTGGTTTTTTTGTATTAAATTAAATTAAATTTTGTTTTAGGTTTATTGAAAATGTTTGAGATTTAAATATGTATGGTCTCTCGTATATTTAATTTAAAACAACTTACATAAACGGGAAAAAAAAATCTCTGCTTCCCCGTTGGAGATGGGGATGAGGATGTAATTATATTACTCGGCGGGGATGGAGACGGGAAGGGTTTTGAGGTCCCTGCCCCGTCACATTCCCATGCATACTCCCAAATGGATAAATTATATGATATAGAATGAAATTCTCCAAATTTGGAGATTTCTCAAAAAATTATTACTTATTAGATAGAATTTTTTATTCATTCTACCAATGAGATTGTTTGAATTTAAATGTTTAGGAGATAAAATTAATATTATATGAGTTGTATATAATATTTTAATAATACTAGAAGCGTACTCGCGCAATGCAGCGAGATGCATCATGATTTTAATATTTCATTTTCTTGTTTATCTCAGTCGATATTATAATATGGCTTTATGTGATTTTGAGAAAGTAATAATGTTTTTATTTTTGAATAAAATATATGTTTGAGGATATCATAAAAATTTGACAAAAATATATCGATATTAGTATCAAATTAACTATTTGAAATTCCTCATTTTTTTGTGTAAATTTTTAATTCA